ATGTTAGTATCAGCATTAATGCCTCTAAGGTTTCTTTGACTCTCAGGGTGTTTTTCATGAATTTCTTATAGAAGCACTTTTGTTATTTTTCTTAATATATTCGGGCAAGTTGGCATTTTTTATCATAACAATGAAATTCATTTTTGCCATAAATATATCCATATTTTTTTAATGTTACAAAGGTAATAATGTCTTGTCCTGGATTCCACTATTGGCTTGAAATTTTGATTTTCAAAGTATTTCACTGGGTGCCCTATAAAGGGTTAAACCTGTTCACGTTTTGCTTCTGGGTACCATAATTATCTGGATTTTTCTGGGAAACATTTTCACATTTCTATCCAGCTGCCCTGAATCAATACTTTGCTGATTCTCCTTTCAATGCAATTTAGCTGCAAGTCTTTTCAGGCATCCCTCAAAAAGCACATCTACTTGCTTATTACCTTATTGCTCAGTTAGACTGGATGGAGCGCCTCTATGAGCAGCAAGCTTCAAGTTGGATTTAAGGCTGACCTTTGAACTTTCTAACACAGAGGTATAGGTCGTCCAAAGCATGTCTTTTTTAGCTCTATGTTTCAATGTACCGGTAATTAGCTGAAACACCTGAATGTAACCGTATAAGGAGGATGGACACGACGGAAGGAGCTAGACCCGGGTGGAGTAAGATAAAAACCTCCAGGAGTCTGCAAGGATGAGCTTTAGTTCCAGAGATTAACCAATATACTGCAAAAACTATCTACAAATAAGTAAAAATTGCTTAAATTAAGTTTATTTACCCTTAATTAAAGTAGATAAATAAGATGATTTCTGCACTTTAGACATAAGATTATTAAATAATATGCACTTGAAATAAGACAATGCAATTGCCCTTTTCTTATTTTAAATGTAAATTGTTTCATTGGCAAAGCGTCTCACTTACCTCCTCAATTCAAGGACAAATGCACTTATTTTAAGAACAAAATGGCTTAGTTAGATTTCCATTTTTTGCATTGTAAAGGCTTTTTTTTTTGTTACTGATGTCGATTATTCTGACCTCATTCCAACCGATCCCCAACATGGGCTGCCGATTGTTTGGGTCCGATTATTAAAGCTCGTAGTACTTTCTCCTCTCTTATTTACATCATTGAAATGACACAATCATGACGAAGGTTACTCAAGGATCAAATTAAACAAGAAAGAAACATTTATTAAAATGCACACATTGGCTGATAGAAATACGAGAAAAAAACTCTGATACCAGTTTATATTCAACCCCAAACATTAGTCAGCTCTGTAATGGAAGGCTTTAGATTCAGATGATTTCATTTATTTCAATGGCCTAGTCAAAGTCCAGAACTAAAGCCAAACAAGAATCCATGGAAAGAGTGATTTTCATGGACGCTTTCCAGTCAACCTGACTGAGCTTATTCAATTTCATGGAAGATATGTTTTAACCTGGTAGATTCATAATAAAAAGACATGAAACATAATGTTGCAACAAAATATTTTTCTAGTAATTAGTACAAAAAACAAGAGCTGACAAAAGTGTTTCCTTTTTATACTTCCTTGCTACTTTATGTCCATTAATCACACAAAATTTGGGGATTTAAACTCTAAATATCAGAAAGGTTTTGGGGTTATAAATACGCTTACAAATCACTATATGTTTTGAAGTTTAAAAAGAATTAGAGCTGTAAATAAAATAAAAAGAGACAGCTGTAACTCAGCCACGATGGATGCCAATAGGGGAATGTCTGCCAAACCACTTGACATCCCCGCTTATGACACTTGAACATCGTCTGTGGGTGCGGTGTGGGCATCCAGTGAAAGGGCTGGAGGTCTGCAATGGCTGCCATATACATGTAGAAACCCATACCAACCCTTTTACTATGGCTTCCAGGTCAGTATGAGGGCGGGCATTAGTCAAAAAAGCCACACAGAAACCAACGTCACAATCTGCTGAAAAAACAGAAACTCTAAAAATAAAAAAAAATGGACAAACATGCTGCTTTGACTAGCTGAGGGACACTGGAGGCATGAGATCAAAATGAATAGCAAATGTTTTCACTGCTGCCACAAGCTCTTATAACCAATATCAGCCCAGAAATCTGTCTTCAGTGAGAAACAGCTCATGTTCTACAAACCAGCACCTAATGGCAAACAGCAGTATGTTTGGACTGCTAGCCTCATTTCAGATACCAAAAAAGAAAAAATGTTTTGCCTCAATCTCACCAACATAACAGGCAGGACATACTTTTCCTGCATGATGGTATTGAAGTGACTCCACAGATCTGACCTATACTCTAAACCCAGAAAAAAGCAGAAGAAGTGACACGGGACAAAGTCCATCGTGAGCTACCCGTTTAGCCTTGTGACCACAATTCCAGTGTGGCATGTGACACAAGATGGAGCGATGCCCAAAGACACAAGTGGTGAAAGTCCAATTAACCTGCAGCCAAAAACAACAAATTCCCACTTACCCCAAAAACGCCAGTCTCCTCGTCTTTTGCCAAAGAAACGTCCCTTTGAATGATAGCAACTCCTACACTCTGCGGAATGAGAGACAGAGAGAGAGAGAGATATTTGAAACCCAGAGCTTTGTGGGCCTTATCCACGTGCTGCAGACTCCAAAACTCCCAAGCCTTCCTGGCACAGACCTGCCTCGCTACATGAAAACTCTTACACTCTTTTTCCTCTCTCGTAGTCTCTGTAATCTCCCCACCCTTTTTCCGATAGATTGCACTCTTTCCTTTGCTACTTTGTGCCTCAGACATCATGTGAAAAGTGGAGTAAAGAAGTGCTTTTGTGGTGTGTAAATTACCTAGGGCCTAGGCAGGCACAGTGGTGCTTATGGCCACAACTCAATTACAGCAATGTGAATCAGGTGGCAGCCTAGAAATCCCCTTAGCCTGATGCGCAAATAGGGACACAAAGGCGCCTTCATTGTCAGGACAGAGAAAAATCTAAAGTGGCGTGTCATCTCTTCATAGGAGAGGAGTCGCTGCTCAGATGAATGGCTATCAGACAATGAGTCAGCAACACTAATTCAAAGGGTGTGAATAATGCCATTTTGTACACGAAAGTTGCCAGACTATAATAAATGTTTGGAATCAGATCTAATTTCAGATCTACACTGGAAAGAAAGTCACATGGCATTAAGAAAAATCTGATAAATAGCACCTTTGTGTAGTAGAAAGCTTGGAAAATGTTTTGTGGATGGTTTTAACCAAAAACAAATAGATGAAAGTTACTGCTTGCTGAAAGGAACCTTGTTGGATGCCACTACTTCAAAGCATTGCCAAAATGGATAATCATGACCAATCATAGTCTAGAATAAGGTTATCTTTCTTAGGATGCTCTCCATGCGGTATCTCTCCGGCTCCGAAGGAATGAAGGAACAACATTGGGTCCTCCAAAGACCAAGAACAATTAAGAAAATTGCATCCTATTAGTAAAAGTTTTTACCCAAAAATTACCCTTCCTCAAGGCAGAAGCCACGCCGTTTACAAGCAAAAAATTAATTTTACAGCCGTTTGTTATCAGCAGCTCCCGAGGACAGTCAAACTGCTGCGTTCTAAATATAACACCTAAATATTTTAAAGTAATAACGCCCCTTGAACTTTCCCAGATTTTGTGACGTTTTTTGAAGGATCTCATTAATCAGAGGAAGAAAAAAATATAAATAAAAGCTTAATGCGCATTCTTTTTCAAAAGTCAAGTACAATAAAACAGAAGCCATTTCTAAAATGAAAGGGCATTCGGTTTTTGGTCATGTTGCCAGTAGAGAGTTTCCCACTCCAGCCATTAAGGGGGCATTAATGCACATCTTGATTTATCTACAACTCACAAGGGAATATAGCTGCAGCTAGCATGCAGATCCATGCAAGAAAGTACTTTTCTGGAGTAGAGTCCTGCAACAATGGATGCCGGACAAAAGAGGCAGCTTATTGCCTAATTTCTTATTACATATAGCCTCTCTGTGCATATTTACCATAGCAACATCGTGTAACGGGAATACATCAATGTGCATGTGTACAAATGGTCAATAAGCCGAAAAAATGGAGGCAAATGAGCGTGGGAACTAACAGTATAATAAAAAAAAAAGGGAAAAGTGTGAAAAGAGTGTAAAAAGGCTCAAGAAGAGTGACTGATTATACCTCACTGCACTAACAGTTACTGCGATAGTACTACTACTCCTTGAAACAGGCAGGGTTTCAATTAGAAGTGAGTCAGATTGGTCTCCAACAGAGAGGTCTAATTTCTCTGAGGCATTACAGCACGGTCCGTTCGATTAGACTTGGACTTAGGCTTAGACTCAACCTTATTTATCCCTGGGTCCAGTAGCTTATATAGAGTACAAAAGAGTTAAAGCAAGATGCCATTAAAGAGAAAAATACAACAGACAATAAAAAGAGTGTATATAGTACAAAAAAGCATTAAAATGTCATAATGTCCTGTAGAAATGTGGTGACCATATAAATAAGTGAACATTATACAGACTACGGGCTGCTTAGTGGAAACAGTGAGTGCCACTGCTGCCTTGCAGCAAGAAGATTCCTGGTTCAATTCCCGGTCTTTCTTTGTTTGCATGTCTCCCTGTACATGCATTGGTTCTCTTTGGGTACTCTGGCTTCCTCCCACAGTCCAAAGACATGACTGTTAGGTTAACTGTCCTGTTTGTCTCTGTGTTGCCCTGCGATTGACTGGCGACCTGTCCAGGGTGGAGATAGGCACCAACACCCCTCACAACCCCGCTAGAGATAAGTGTGACGGAAAATGGATGGATGTATATACGGACTACACAGTAGTTGACTTGGATTATTGCACTTGTAAATTAGTAAATTAGCACCTTATAAATTAGTTTAAAAAAATTACACGGGCTACACAATAGCAGGCATATGTTACTGCACAGTAAGAGAGTACAATATGGCACATGAGTGGGCCTTATTTAGTAGCTGCATCATTGGCCACCATCCGGCTTTCTGGTACTTCAGCGGAACTGCCAGTAGATGGCGCCGCGGCTGTTTATGTCCGCTAACCTGATGCTTGGGTTCTATTTAGGCTTAAACAATTCCAGTCAAGATGAATGCATGGAGTATGTAGCCTTGCTTAATCCACTAGAGTTTGGTCTCTTTGGTGTAACGTAACTATTCACCTTTAAGAAGAGTCTCAGGTATTAATATTATGAAATCTGGAATCAACGGTGTTACATAATAATGATGCAGCGTCACTCCCTAAAATGTTTAAAAAAACAATCCACTGGACTTTGTTTCCAAGTTTGATGACATTTTGCTTCGCATCCAGGAAGCTTTTTCAGAGACATAGACAGTTATGCAACATTGCCGTTCCAAAGGGGTGGACCCGTTAGTCCGTTTCAATTTGCATGTTTTGTAAGCAAAAACAAGGCTTTGTTGGGCTGCTGTATAAAACCTTGAACTGAAACTTATTCCTGACATTTTGATTTGAAAAGCTTCCCAAATGGGGAGCAAAGCGCCTTCAAACTTGGAAACAAAGTCCAATGGATTGTTTTTTTACTTTTTCGGAATGACTTTGACCTGGATGACCTGGGGGGAGAGAGATCTTTGCCACAGGGATGAGCGGAGCACTGAGATCTAGGCATACATGAAGCCCAATGGCTGAGGAGAGTAATGTGGGCGGGTTTTTCCCCTGAGGAGAAACGCTGCAGCAGAGCCACTGACTGAATGACAGCGTTCCTAAAGAAAAGCTCTCGCTGAAGTCAAAGGCTAAAAGTTCCTGTGATTCGCTCATTAGATCCGGGACCAAAGACTTTATCCACTATGGTTAGACGAAGCTCTTATCTATAGACGCTCCTCACATCATCTCACCACCAGCACCACTAACTGACAGCCGGCTGGCTTCTATGATGCTGCTCTTTACTCTCTGTTTATTTTTGGAATAGAGTAATTAGCCTTGGAATAGCCCAGTACAGCAAAGTATATTTCATTTTTGTTAAATATCTTTTACTGGATTGCTTTAGATAAAAAATTAACAAACAATAATCGGATCCAGAAGAACATATTGCAACACATTAGTTCCGTCACAGTACAGAATACAATGTTTTCAATTATTCCATTCATTCATTTTTAATCTTACATTAAAATTGAATTCCATTTATATTTTTAACGAACTGATAGCAGGGAAGTTATTCCAATTAATCATGTAGATAATTTCCCTGGTAGCTAGCTACTTTATGCAGTAACCTAATTACTAAGACATATGTTTTTTTTTTTTTTCGGGAGAGGTAACTAGTAACTGTAACTAGTTACTTTAAAAAAAAATAGCATTCCCACTTCTGATCATTATCTTAAATGTCCAGATGATTGAACAGTGGATTAAGTCCCAGTAACTGTTTGCGAGCTGCAATCTCCACTTAACGTTCAACATGGACTGATATCCACATCAGCTCAGTTCTTCAGGAAAACAATTTTCAGCACAATAAAAAAAAAGCTCTGGTTTTAATTAAACTATAAGCTACAAATATGAACATTTATTGGGATTATTTGTTACTTCACATAAGGCTAGATGGAAATCAAAGCGAAACTGCAGTTGCAATTAAAATATTTGAAAATTTTGCTACAAAGTAAAGATGGTCCACCTTTGTGTGATTGGACTTCTGTCTAATCCCAGCTGTTCTTTGAAGACCTGAGGGGTTTTTAGGGACCATGATCAGGCTGAAAGTCGGCCTGATCCAAAAATTCTCGCATGACTGGAAAGTCAGCCCGAAAAAGGCAAAATATCGCACACTGTAAAGCCGGGCGTACACTGCGATTTTCGGGGCGATTTTCCAGTGGTGCGAGAATCTTTCAATCGTCTTCCGACCGTCGTGGGCAAATCGCTCAGGGCGCATGCGCAAACAAGGATTCTTCTTTTTCTTCTTTCTCTCAGATGTAAAAACAGCAGCATGGCAGGGATGCAATGATGCTACTCTGTCCCTGAAATAATTAACATGAACGATGGAAAATATCAATGAATGATTCATCTTATATTAAGTAAATGATCAAATGTTAAGAAGCCATTTAGAAAAAACCTAAATGAAAAACTTTTCTCTTGTATCAAGAGTATCTTTCCATTAATATAAGGCCAATATAATGAATAAAACAATATATTACCTCATTCTGTTTTAAAAATTCATTGATCCAACATTAATAAATACTAAATAATTAACTAGGAACATGTTTTATGGTATAGCATATGGTTTTATGCATATAGATTTATAGTATAGCAATACAGGAACCTGTTAGTTTACTGAATAAAAATAAATCAAAGATGTGAAACAGATATGTAACACTGTCATTTATAGAAGGGGTATGTCGCTTTGACATACTGTCAGACTTTTTACCACTTCTTTTCCAGGAGTTGGACGCTAAATGTGATATGGCTCTCTGTTTTTAGTCTCTTCCAGTCAGTGCTGGAAGAGACTAACGGTTAAATGGGCGCTATTTAGGGAATGAGTTTATTGAGTATGAAGATTTACATACAGAATGGCATAAAGTGTAATCTACCTCCTTGTTGCTAAAAATAGACCTTG